TACCCTAAAATATCTCTTGCTTTATAAATTATTTATCAATTCTCCTTAACTGCATAACCATTTAAAACTTAGAAAATTATTTTTAGGTTTTAAATTTTTTATGCAAAGAAATACGTATTACTGGTTTTTATTTTGACCGAATATAACAAAGTTTTTAATAAGAGATTCCTAATAATTTAGATAAAGCCTACAAAAGTTTTACTGTATATGTTATAGGTAGGTATTTTTACTTGAGAATTATTTTTTTTTTTTACATTATATCATGAGAAAACTAATTGAAAAATTCTATAAATTGGTACTTATAAAATTTAATTATATCCTTTTATTTTTATAAAATTAAATTCGAAATATTAGTGGATGCCGATAAACTTCCACCTATAAAATTACAGAAATGTACCCAACAAGTTTTCCAGCAAAGCTCAGAGCTCAATAATACTCCCGCTGACAACTTAAAGGCAAGCGACAGGGCTGCCTCTGTTTCGAACCTTGGAGTCTACTGTTGTTCTGGTTTACTTCGCAGTTATAATGAGCACTCTATTTGATAATACTAAAATTATTATGCCGCCTTTGAGCGAAAGAAAAGAACTTCTTGAGAAGTTATTAAAAAAAGCTGCTAATGATGTTTTCGGTATTTTACTAGTTATTAAAAGTTTTTCCTCCTTTAACATCTATCACATATCCCGTTAACGAATATTTCTAGGTTCCGACATTAAACTTTTTACCAATCTGAAGCCGTTTGTTATTTCTTTAGAAAGTGTGTGCTTTCAAGAAAGTCATAATAAGGAGCTATATTATGCTAGATTAAAGGGGTTGCTTCCTGTTTTTAGTTGTGGGTTAGAACTTCAACGTCTTGCTGATACCCGTCAAAAGGTTTTTTTTAAAGGAAATAAGTATAACCTTTTAACTATGTATTGTTTTTTTCGCCTTTTTATATATTTTTCTAATGGGCTGACCGGTAGTAAAATAAAGTGTAGAACCTTTTGTTTGTTAAGTACAATTCTATAGATATATGAAAAGTATTTGTAGAGAGAGTATGCGAGTGTATTTACGTGACAAAGCTGCTATTGCGGTGCAAATCTTAGCTTATGCTAAAAATTCATTTTATACTTAAGAGTGATTTATATACTTGTAGAGGTAAAAGTTTTATATATTATTATAAACGCAGCTGGTCACTCTGTTGGTACTATGTTGGATAAAAGCTTATCTACGGCGGGCTTACTTTGTAGCACGATTTAGTCTATAACTATTTTTCAATTGCGATTAATTTTTTTTTTTGGTTCATTTGCTGCAGATTATTCAAGAATATAAAATAAGACTAACAAAGCTGAATCAAGATGGAATGCAACTACTGACTAGAGTCCGCCAACAAGAACTTATGTTAAAGCAACAGTTAGAAAAGATTTACAGCGATATGTCACTAAATCTTCAATCCAAGATTCCTCTTGAAGCTTCCCAAAACCTTTTAACCGCTGCTGCACAGAATACTATAAAAGGTCGTTTAACTGCTCTTAATAAGGAAAAAGATCAGCTTGACAGCCGGCAGCAGTCCATTTGTAAGCAGTTGCTATTGACTGCAAAAAGTAAGGAAGAAAAAATACAACTAAGATTTACTTTACTGTCAGACAAGTTAGAAAAGTACGTAACAAGCAATCCTCTGCTTAATTTCCCTTCAATAGTTAGTCAAATTTCTCTATTGAGAGGCGAGTATTGGCGTAATAAGGGTGCTATTAATAATAATATCTATACTGTTAATAATAATGATAATTATGATAATAATAACGCCGATTTGGCTGGAAATCTAGAAAATGTATATTTATTAAAGAAGAGACGTGCAAACAGTAAAAGCATTACACAAAGAGATAATAAAAAACTTAAAGTCGATAACACTACTGTACTCGATAAACAAATGGACGTTTCAAATCCTGAAAGACAAAACAAAGGCACTAAAAATTTGAATAGTAACAGTAGTAATAAACTTAACGGTACAGAAAACGATAGTAACAATACTACTAAGGAAGCTAAAGGAAGTAATAAAATGTATAATAAAGCTAACAAAATTAACGGTACGGAGAGCAATACTACCAATAATGACAATCACGCTATTGATAGTAATAAAAATCATGTTATATTTGAACCTGATAGCAATCCAAACACTACTCTGGAAGAAATAAGCCTTTTGGGGAATGCTAATGAAACGAGCTCAAACGGCTTATCGTTATATCCTACCCCTCCAGAAGATTCTAAGAAGTCGGGAAACTCAGTAAAAACCAAGTTAATATCTTCTAATACTCGTACTGTGCCTGAAGCTAAAAATCAAACTATAACACCCGCTCACGGTAATCATTCTCCCAAGAGCATCCCTAATTTACCTGTTCTTAAAATAAAAACTCCAATCCTGGAAGATTGCGAAAGATGCAGGACTCTTTATAAATTGGCTTATCCTAATAATTATGAACTTGCAACAAAGCCATCTCTTCCCAGTATAAACAAGCCCTCTGAAATTAAGATGAATGATAGAGAAGTACAAGCTTACTGGGACGCTATTGAAAGCATGCGTATCTATGTAAAGCCTTTGGAAGGGCTTCTTTCTACCATAAGCACAGCCTCTGCTCCTAAACTTATAAGTTACATAAAAATACTTAAGGCCGATAGGCGGACCGAAGCACCAACAATAAAACTGGAACAGCTTTTAACTGTTCGACAAACCCTCGAGAATCATCCTTTTCTAAAATTAAGTAATCCGGAATTAAATGAAAAGGCTGAAACATTAAATGAATATAAAATTTGTGAAGAGGATAATAATCAGACGCTTTCAAAAAATACTTCTATGCAGGGCTCTCGTACCACCAAGAGTAATATTTTTTGTGAGAGACCCAAGAGTTGCTTGATTAGCACGTTGATTGACGCACTTGAAGAAATAAATCTCTGTTTAGGAACCTTTAAAACCGCTTATGAATTTTTTAAGCCGTGGGTATCGTAATATTAAAATCTTATTCAAGTATGTTTTTTTAAGTATAGGTCGCCATGCGAATCTTTCGGCTTAATTGGGTCTTAAAGAGCCTGTAGTGAAAGATACTAATTTTATAGACGTTTTACTGCGAAACATTTCAGAATTGGAGCTGTCTAAATCCAAAGCTTATATTATATATGTTTTCTTTTTCTACTATAAATAAACTGTACTCAATAAAGTTCAAATTACTCATAAAATTTTTTTTTTAGCATATGCATATTTACTTAGCTAACATAGAGTTACACCAGAAACATCGCTGGTAAAAAACTTTTCGTATACAAAAGTTTGCATCCAAATACTGGGAGGCTACGTAGCCCACACAAATTTCTAATAAATAAAAAATTAGGAGCTCTTTAATGTGTCATTAATCATACTATTATTTGAAGTTCAATATTTATATTTTCTGTCCTTAGCCTGCGCTCCTAAAGTAAATCTTGCGCAAGCACACAAAGCACCCGACCTGTTTGTTCAGTAGTAATGTGTACTAGGAATTCTTTTTTAACGCTTTATAGTGAGTCAGGGCATAGCATAGTTTGAGAGGGTCAGGAAAGGTTTAATTAAGGGTTATCCACTAGTGAAGTATTTTCTCTGTTTCATTGTTTCTTGCGCATTAGGATAAAAAATGTTAAAAAAATAAATGTTTAATAACTTGTAGTTATATGGACCGACAATTTAGCAGCTTTTTTTTCCATTGCCCTTTAATTTAAATCTGGAATGTCTTCGTTTCATACGCTCACCAGCCTTGCATAAATGCTAGTTGGACGGCTCCCCTTTCCTTTCATGTTTATCGTTCCTTGTTTACAAAAATAAAACTGTCTTAAACTGATTAATCTACAATATTTCCTCCGTAAGGTTTGAAGGTTATCTTTATATAGGAACATTAAAAAATTAAAAATTAATATACATATAATTCACTTTTTACGGTTAATCTGAGTTATTTATCCTCACAACGACTACTACTATTACTACAAATACTATTATGATATAGTCAATGAATTTTTATATTTTTAGTATAAACTTATTACTTAACATTTTTTTGAAATACTTAATATTAGTATTAAAGACAATTTTTTTATAGAAAGCTAGCTTGCTACACTAACATAGCGCGTAATTTATTTTTTTAACATCGTTGTGTTTACCAATGTCGCTGATGACTTTCTAATAAATTAATAGGTTCTAAGTAATATTTTTTACACTTTAGTCACCAAATCAGCTAATAATAATTAAGAACCTCACCGAATGTGTTACAAAAAGCAGAAACTATGCTTAAAGCGCGCCCAGAAAAACTTTTACATTTTTTAGTTGTTTTATTTAGATTTTGTTTAATTTCAATTTTTTTTTAATATTGTGAGTTCTTAATAAAACAACCATAACAACTTATATATCACCTTCTCTGCATTGTTGGAACAAGAATAACTTGGATAACTAAATAATAGTCGATCTTTTTTATGTGCGGTCCTCATAATTATGTAAAAAACCCTTAATCATTCGAGCTAAATATATATTTTGTTTTTGTTATCTTTATCGCTATTTGAATATACTTCTACGCTTTTAAACCGATTTAGATTATTAGTATGTCTTGAATTCGTAAAACAGTGACCGAAATCAAATATAATACTGAAACTAAATATAATACTGAAACTTTCTGTAGCTCAGCAATTAAAGTAGACGTAAAAATTTTTAGGTCATAGAAAAAATTAGCAACGAAACGGAATAGGACTTACTGCCACCTCAGCAATCACGGATTTGAAATATTAAGGAGTTTTTTTTAAAATAAAGTATAGTAAAAAGCAGGTTTCTTTAAAAAATACTTAAATTATTATGTTTTTAAAAAAAAAATTGAACCTTGTAGTGCGCCTTTAGGGGATATATTAATGTTACAGTTTTAAAGAAACAAAAAGCCTTATAGAAATTTTGTAAGTAGCCCTGTTAGAGGGTAAAAGTAATTCTTATTCACGGTCACGATTTTTGTACTGTATTGAGGCTAATCACTACTTTTCCGTCCTACTTGGAAGGAGGAAAATTTTAAAAAAACTTAATGAAAAGAATCTATCAAACATTTTTGGTCACGACTACTTTTTATAATTTTAACTCCTGCGCATCGCAACCTTTTTATAAATAGATTAAGTTTAACGAGGCCTTCTACTTTTAAGTAAACTCTGCAGCCCATGGAAGATCTCTTAACGCTAAAGATAATTCAAGTTTTATAAGTTTTTTACAAAAATTATATTATAATTTTCCTGTTTACTAATTAACAGGATCTTTCCTTGTCTGCAGAAAACTATAAAGATTTTCATCAAGTTTATAAACTTCTTTTTGTTGCTAAAAACTTCCCTTCTTTGTCACGAAACTGTTTGAGTTTAGCTTTGGAATGCGTAAAACGACAAACACTGTGTGTTTTTCAGTACAAAAAGATACACGAATTACTTTGTTGTACAGGGTTGATAGCTTAAGTTTATAAATTGCTTGTAAAATTTCATCTCCTTAATCTTTGACCCTTGAAATAATTAAAGGCAAAAGCATATTTTTATAAGGGAGCCGCTTCCTATTGACACTCGGTGGGTTACGAATACTGAAAGTTATGTAAATTCAGAGGTAAAAATACTAAACCTTAAAATTTTAAGTTTTCTGAAGATACTATTATTTAATTGAAAGTCATAAAGATTAATAAAGTACTTTAAAGTATATAATAAGTTTATTTTTGTAAATTACGTTTTTAAATTCGTCTTAATTGCTTAAGTTTACATGATTGCATCTTTAGCTTATCAATTTGAAGAATTCGCTGAATTTGAGTGTAAAGCATCTCGATACAGTTAAACAACAAGAGCTTCATCACAAATTAGGCATTTTTTATTATAGCACAGGTGGGTTTCATAAAAAAAAATTTCACTGAAAGTTAAATTATTTGTTAGTTTTTTTAATAAACAAAAAAAAAATTCACTTATGGTAATCAATTAAATTCATAATTAAAGTAAAAGTAAATATTAATGCTTGCTGTAAAATACTCACACAGTATATTGTTAATGTATTCACTTAGGCGAGTTTAATTCAGCAATTCAGCATTTTAAATATTCTCAAAAATATACCTTGTCTCTGGAAAAAAAAATAGATTTGGATATTAATATCTTAAACGTACTTTAAATGTGTTTTTAAATTTTGTAAAAAATATTGGAGGTCAGTTTTATATTTACAAAAATTATTTATAAATAAAATTTATGCTAATTTAGTAATTTCAAATAAATAAGTTAAAGATTATTTTATTAAAAAAAATGTTATTACGTTTTCTATTCTTATTTATTATACTTATTTTTATTAATTAATTGATTTTGTACTTTTTTAATTTTTTTAAGTTTTCTAGATCCGTGATATTTTTTAGTTTATTAAATAATTAAATTTTTTAATTAAATAAATAATTTTTAAAAGGGAAAATTTTAGAAATTTAATTTTTATTAGAAAATAATTTCTTTTTTTCTCTCGTATAACTTTTTTTTTATTACTACTATTTATATATTCTGCTTACCAAATTTATCTCAAGAATTAAGTTAGTCTTTTTAAACTTTTTAATATTTTCCATTTGTAGTTTACTTATTGTAATTTTTTATTACTTTAAAGATTAAAAAAAAATTTTACTTTCTTTCAATTAAATTTGTACTATATCTTCTTAACTTTATAACATAATTTTAAACTTAATGTTTTATTATTTCCTAATTTTTAAATTTTTCCTGTTTTCATATTTAAAAAAGTTAAAGAAGTTAAATTTTACGTGAATAATTTAATTATTTTAACGTATTTTAAAATTTTTTAATTAATTTATTTTTTATGTAAGTGTTACGTGGCTATGAAGTCTTATAAATCTGCTGCAATGTTATGTAAAAAAGTTAAATCCAAAAACAGCAAAACGCTTTTTGTAAGATTCCGATTTTAATTTTTTCGTAAAATACTATCTTACAATATTTTTTTTACTTTTAAAGACTTAATTTTTTACTAAATAAGTAATTAATTTTACTAATTTAATTATTACAAGAAATTTGAAAACTGCTTACGTAGTAAAATTAGTACTATTAGCATTAATTAATATTAAGTATTAACTTAAATCACTTTGCATAGAAATAATTATTTCTATTTTTTTTTTAAAAAAAGTTTTGTTTTAAATCAAATTTTTAAATTATATAATTATTATTGTAAAAACTAAATATATTACTAGCAAGCACACTTTTTTGAGGCCGTTGAAGGACTCGCAGCACTGACTATGGGAAACTTTTTGCATGCTGTGATTTGCTTTAAAAATTGTTGTTTTGAATCTTTGCAAGAACATCCGCTTCCAATGGCAAGATTTTTTTTTTTAATCTTAAATAGTTTAGCGGAGCATAAGCACTGCAATTTATTGGCCACGTAGTTTCTGGCCTCTTGATTTTTATTGGTTGAGGGGACACACTAATACTCTTTTCTTTTGTTTTGATTAGTGTATTTAATTTAAAATACTCTATTTTATGGAAGCTCATTGGTTCATTTATAAACCAATATTATTCCTTTTTTAAATATTTTAAAAAGTTTGCAAATCAATTCCCTTTTGGCATTTACTTGCACAATTTATTTTATAATTTTATAATTTTATTTCTCATCCACAATTTTTTTGTATGTAATATATATTTTTATACTTTATAAAAGTTTATATATATTTAATTTACTTTGTATACTTATAGAACTGAGTTTTATAACGTTTACTTTATATTATTTTATTTCTCATCACGTATTTTTTTGAATGTAAATTTTTCATACTTTATATATTATACTTCTATATATAGCTTTCCAGCTGCGATATTGGTCTTTACTTAGGTCTCTGCGCATTGGCTTCTTATAATAGAGAAGATCTCTTCAAGTTGTTCAACGATCCGAAGTTCTATTATCATTATTATTATTATTATCATTATTATTAATATTAATATTATTACTTGTTTTTTCTGTAAAGCTGCCGAGAATTTATAGAATTGGTTTCCCCTGTGAAAGCTTTACTTAACAACTTTTATCGAGCTTTTTATAGTTCCTGCGTAGTAGTTTTAAGGGAGCTTCAGGTATTATTATTTTTACTATTATTATTATTATTATTTATTATCTTAGATTGAACTTTCAGCTAATATATATATTGCTGAAGTTGCACCGGAACTGCTTTTACGCATAGAAGAAAAAGTAATTATCGTTATTATTATAATATTTTATTGTAAAAGTACAATAAAGGTTATTTTCTATAATTGCAACTAATTTTATAACAATTCTGACTTTGTCTCTTTTTCTATTTATCAAGTTTAAATTTAATATTAGATTTAAGTTATAATAACCAGTATTTATTTTATTTTTACCTTTAGTAATAAAACTTGAATTTAGGTTTATCTTTTTTCTGTATATTATTTAAACTTATTTTTTATCAAATTAATATCCTAATAGTTATTTTTACTTTTATTTTTTTTTTTTTAATAAATTTTTAATTTTATATTTAAGTTTTATTTCAAATTTATCTCTATTAAATTTTTATTTATAATATTTTTTTACTATTAGTTTTTAAATAAATTTATTATTTTATATTTTATTTTTAATTTTTTTTATTAAAATTTACTTTTCGTTTGATTAATTTATAATAATTATTTTTATTTTTAGTAATTTAAAATAGACTTAATTTGTTTTATTTCTTTTAATTTAGTATTTTATTTAAACTTATTTTTAATGAATTTTAAATTGTAATTGTTATTATTTAATTTTTTTTAATAAATATTTAATTTTTGTTGAAATGTAGTTAAATTTATTTTATTAGAAATAATAAAAATTTTTTTACTTTAGTTTATTAAAAAAATGTAAAATTTATATTATTTATTTATTTTTTATTAAAATCTAATTTATAATATTAATTTTTAGTTTTAGTTTTTAAATAAATTTTTAATAACTTATCGTTATTATAAATCTAATTTAAATAATTATTTTTACTTTTAGTTTTGTGAAAATTTTTTATTTTTATTTAAAGTTATTTCTAATAGAATTTGAAAATTGTGAAATTAATACTTTAGTCTTTTAAAAAGTTATTATTTAAGTTTATTTATTTTTAGTTGAATTTAAATAAAAATTACTTTTAGTTTTAGATTTAAATAAATTTTTAAAAGTTTATTTTCCTTTGGAATCTAATTTATAGATTATTTTTACTTTTAGTTTTTTGATTTAAATTTTCTAACTTTTATTCAAATTTTTCTTATTGGAATTGTGAAGTTATTAAATCTTTTATTTTTAAAAATTAATTATTTTTATTTTTTATTATTAAATTATTTTATTAAAATCGAATTGTAATGAAATTATTACTTTTAGTTATTAATCCAGTACATCGCTCCTTTTTCTTCTCTTAATATTCATAATATGGCAACTGTTTTTCAACTAAGTTATAAGGGTTATTACTATAATTATTATTAATTTTAATTAACTTTAAAAAAAAATTCACTTTAATTGTCCCAAATTTTTAAAAAATTCAGAACTCATAAGTAAATTAGAATCACTTATCTTAAGCGAAAAAGTTGTTGCTGTAATTGAAAGCAGCGATTCTGTAAAGTTGAATATTATATTTATTGCCGTTCATCTCTTTACTTTTCTATACAATTTTTTATTTAATATTTAATTAATCAGTTTTAACTAAATTAATGTAAGACTTGATCTTTTTATATAACATTTTATATGTTTTTTAACTTTTTTCAGACTCTCATACGTTCAAGCTTATCTATAAGCGACAAATTACTTACAAAGACTCTCAATCTTTCTGAAAAATTTATACAGGAAGCTCATCAAATTCTATTGAAGATGGCTATACTTCGAGAAAATCTCAAAGATGACACTGCTAAGAAAAGAAAATTATAAAATTTAAAAAAGTAATCAAATAATAAAGTTTAAATTAAAATTTTAAAAAAGATGATAACCAGCCATTCTAGTAAATTATTAAAGTTATTAATAAATTTATGTTATTTACATTAAATAGGTTGTGTTTTAGAAAAAAAGAATTAAATTAGTTTGAATTATGAAGTTCTTTTTTAAAAAAGATTATTAATTAGTAAAGAATTTTGTACTTCTAGCACGGTTTAAAGATTTTTATTTACTTTTAATTACTAAATTTATAAAAAAAATTTATAAAATAAAATTCAAACGATCTAAAAGTCCGTATTAATAAAAATTAAAAGTTATGTGGCCCCTTAATGAGTTGATAATCCAAACAATTAGTACTCCATTGTGTTTGGAAAGAAAAATATGCTTCCAATATTATTATTATCAACATTTTGTTTTCCATATCTTTTTCATATACAACTTTCTGAAAATTATGCGTTAGAATACGAACCTTGCTTAAACTTTTTAATATGTTACAAATATAAAATTAGATTTGGTGATAAGTGCGTTTTATTGATTATTGTAACTTGCTAAGGCGAAGAAGAAATTTTAAAATTTTAAGTGGTAGCTTTAATTGCACAAAGGGCTAGTCTAGTAAAGATTTAATCCGACTACTGTAATTAAAAGGATCTACTTTATTAACTGTTAATAGGATCTAATTCAGAAGGTACCATTTACAAAGGTTAGCTCTATAAAAAAAGCTTAAAAAAAAAGCTTGTTCTTTTTTAATTATTGATACTTGCTACTCGCTGAAGAAGCATTTTGCCGTTTATAATAGTTTAATTTTCCAAAATGAAAACGCTATAAAGTTAAAAAAATGACTTACGCGAAGATGAATATAGCTTATGCTGAATCAATAACAAATTCCGAGTAAACACAGATGACCCTACATGGCTTGTACTACCCACAAAAAGAACAGTTTTATTCGCAAGTCAAAAAAAGCTTTTTTCCAAGAAAGTGAGATGTTTGTAAATATTAAAATAGGTCAATTTCGAAATTAAGTTACTGAAAAATATGCTTTAAAGCAGTTTATATTAAGCAAAGTTAGTTGTAAATCGTTTTATACATCTGAAAAGTGGCAATTAACTTGTAGATCTTTTAACTTTCTTCTGCTTAAACGATCTAAACAAGGAGTGCTAGCCTTCCTAGCAGTTACTCTTGCAAAGTTTTTGCCAAAGAAGTGCAGCTATTTGTTGCGTACCTCTGGTCAAGTGCGGAACTAATTACGCCTGTTTCAAAAAAAAATCCTAAAGAGGTTGGTTGTACGCCCCTATTTTTTTTTAATAAAGTCATAGATTCATTTTGACTTGCTTAAATTTTTTTTTCCATACCTCTAGCTAGTGTAGAATTATCTAAAATAGTTACGCCTGTTCTAAAAGTTGTAAAAGTAAAGCCGCGCTTTTACCGATACAAAAAGTTGATTCCTTCGTTCACAATGTCTCCTTCTAGTGAGAATTAAGCTATTAAAAAATATTATTTATAAATTTATGTAGATAAATCCGACGTAAAATTAGTTATTAATAAGTATTATCGAACTTTACAGGCCGACGCAACATTCTTTTGAGCGTTATAACTTTCCAATCCGATTATCTCATTATACACACACGTATAACTGGTTGCCATTCTAATAACATTTTTTCACAAATATTACAATCAGGTTCCTAAGGCAAAGCTTATTGTAAAAAATATCTGGTGCTGTAAATGTTTTAAGTGCTTTAGTGTTGTCTTTTAAGTTTTGACATATTTAACATATTAATTTTGAGCTTTATAGCATTTATTTATTCTGAGTTGTTTTTGTTCCTAACTTCTCTTTGGTGTCGAACTCTATTCTTTCTATTTTATAAGTGTGGCTAGCTTATTTATACTAAACCTTGTTTACTTTTGTTTAATCTCTTGTTCTGTGTACTCCTTAATAGTAAGTTAATATCTTTTATAATTTTATTAAATTCATACCTTTAGGCGCTATTATATTTTCATAAATCATTACGTTTTTTAATTATTGTAAAATATTTATAATTTTCGGACTGTTGAAGATTTTGACAGGCATTACAGCTTGCTGTTTGTCTCGTTAAGTGATTCTTTCTGTAAGGTTCTACCTATCCTATAATTGGCCAGCTTTTTCTATTCAACTATTCCTTTCAGCCCTTAAGTTAGTGTATATGGCTTTATGCAGGAATATAAATTCTCCATACTCGAGTAGACGTTTAATTTGTTTCTCTTAATAAAATTTGGGTGCTCCTCTTGCTCCAGTGCTCTGTACTGTTGTACTCTCTTCTATTATCTTCTTTTTACTGTCTTATAATTAATAAAGTTATATATATATATATATAGATGTTTATATAATTATTCTTTTGGTATCATCCCACCACCTTCGTAGAAATAACCTTAATCTGTAGTGAGTAACAGCTTACGCACAAAGCAAAACTAAAAAAGAAGAAATGCTCTTAGACATTAATTTGAGCATATGCATCTAAAAAATCGTATTCCGAGCTTTTCAGTTTTTTAATAACCAAATTTAATAGAAATATTCGAGATACTCCCCCTAATTCGTAAAGTTAGTTTTATGGACCGATGAAGGCTTTCTACTTAAAGTAAATTTTAGTTTTCATGGATATATAGCTTCAAAAATAGACTCTTGTGCCCTACAAGGTAATTTTAAAAAGTTATATTTAACAACTATTATAAAAATAGTTGAGTCTACCATGATGTTTTCTATTTTTAATTAATACGCGCTAAAGCAGAGTTGCCTAGCAATTACGATTTCTAAAGTGCTTTTATTTATTACATTTTTTATTAAAAAATTTATTATAAGAAATTAAAATAAATCCTTATAACTTTATAAATTTGGAGCTAATCATAGTTAATAAATAATAACTTAAATTTAAAAATCATTAATTCAAGTAGCGTACACACCTAATGGAAAACAAAGTATGTTAATAAGTCTACAACTTAAACCCAAATTGTATAATTAATACAAAGACCTCTTTTTTTTAAGTTCTACTCCGCAAAAATCTCCAAGTTAGGCTGAACACATCTAGCGGAGTAGCTTAATTATTGAGGTAATGTTTATTTTATTTAACTTTTACTAAGAGGAACCCTACTATGAAACGATTTACAGCAGTTAACTACGCAGGTCTACCTCTAGTTTCAACTAGTTAATTATATTTTTTAAGTAACCTAAGAAGGCCGTAGAATAATATCTTACAATTGAGTACCCTCATTCCCTCGTAATTTATTGCATGTAATAAAAAATGGTCTGGATGCAGTTATACGCTAACTTTAATGGCGATTTTCTACTTTCAAAATAGTAATACTTTGATATTTGATGCTTGGAAACAAGAAGATCTTTTTATAACTTATTACAAAATTAATTTTGTTTTACATCAAATAGAATTTTTATTAAGTTTAGAGCTTTTAATAGAAATTTAGCCTTGCAGATGGACTCCTAGATTCAACGCTGAATCACTAATTTATAGTTATAAAAATTTTAATCCAAGTTTTAATAAATTCAATAACTTGGTATATATAAAAATCCATTTAAAATATAGTTATTTTTTCTGGCTTAATTCTTTTAGAAAACTTCAGAAAATTAGAACTTTTTAAATCAGTACACTGCTTGTAGTCGGAAATTACCACCGGTGGGCTAAGTTGCTTTAAGCTGAAAAAATTTAATACGCATTTTTAACCAATCAACACATTATTTTTTGTAGACTTTTAGTGTACACCCAATAATCTTAATTTTTTTTTTTTAACCATCCTTTTTTGTTAAGCTTTTTAGCAAGCGAAGCCAGCAGTGATATAAGATCGACTACCTTCTACAATTTGAAAAAAAAGACTTACTTGGTAATCTAAAAAAGAGTAAGAATTTTCAATCTCATTATGAACATATTAGAGAATGACGAAGTTTACCCTTCCATGGAGTTAGAGTTTAATGAGGAAGGATTAAGTAAGCATAATAAAAAGGAAGAGCATTTTAAACAAGAATCATGTTTACTTGATAGAGAAATTGAACTTAATAGCATATTTTGTCGTAACATAAAGTTGTCAACGTCTAAAAACAGTTATAAGAAGAAATCATATATTTATGCAAGTAGAAAGTTAAAATTAATATGTAAAAGACTTCCTTATCAATTTCTTTTAGCTCAAGGTTTACTATATTGCAATTAAATACAAATAAATTTTTACAATGGCCTACAGGTACTGTTCCTTTATGGTGGCCGGCTTTTGACAAAGATACCTTAACGGGTTTAAGACATGTTAGCTGCCTCAATGTATGCTTTTTCGATATAACATATAGATTACTTTATAATTTTGTTTACATGCATTTATTAGACCTGCAAGAACACCAAAAAGTAATAATTTTTAAAAGAATTCAAACAGCTTATGATATAATAAACTATTTGATTAGGACTACTTTCTTTTTTCTTATAAAATTTTCTTAGATATTAGCAAAATATAAGAATTTAAAAACTCCTTTTCTTTCTAACATATGATTACAAATAACACCAAAATCTCTCTAAAAAAGCGTTGTATGAACTACTGACGCAATTTAACCATTATTAAACGAACTAATTATTGTAACAGTATTATTTATTTACATTAAACATAAACTAGTCTTAATAAAAAAATACAAAAGGTAATCAAGTGAAATATATTGATGGGTTGTCAACACTTTTGCTAGCTGTTTATTACTTTCAGCTTATTGAAAGCTTTTAGTGTTTTCTATTAGGTTATAGATTTAAATATATTTATCTGCTCGAAAAGTTTAGTGTGTTATCTTTTGTAAAGTAGCAGGCTAAACATAGGCATATTGATACAATTCCAAACTGCTACACATCTTCACGAAGTTTTTTAACTGTTTAGTACAAATATTATTTCAATCTTGTAGTTGTAGTTTTTTAAGAAGGGCTTTATATTAACGCTTAATGTAAGTTTCTCTTAATAAATTCTTATGTAATGTGACGATGAAACAGTCGCTT